GCCGCTCTCTTCATGGGGACCAGCTTCTGTGTCCTACAGAAGAAGGAGAGACAAGGCCGGCAGGCTGAGGTGGGAGGAGCCAGCGCAGAGCAGGACCTGACCCCAGAGGGCCCGGAAAGTTCCAAGAAGCAGCTGTGCCCCGAGATCATGTATGTGACCAGCCTCTGAGCTCTGGCGCCACACGTGGCCACCTGGGTGTGACCAGTGTCCAAGCCCTGGGATCACGTGAATGACCACTGTCTCAGCCTGGGACACTTGCTGCCAGGGCTGGGTAGAGGGCTGCCCAGGAAGCCAGGACCAGAGGCTGCCTGGGCTCTGCTGGCAGGACCCAGCCTGAGCAGGGACCTTGGAGCTGGCCTCCAAAGACTCGGGGCTCCTTCCAGTCAGCCCAATCCAGGAGCAGGTCCTCCTGGCATTTTCCTTGGTCACCATCACCCTGGGGCCCAGGAAGGGGGGTGGTCTGAGCCCTGTGTGGGTCTGTTACAGCTGGCTCGTCTCAGCTGGCTACAGGCTGCTGCTGCTATAAATTAACAGACTGTACCTTCCAATCCATCCTGAGGCCTCTCACGCGATCCTTGTCTCCAGCCTCTAGACAGGAAGGCCTGTCTCCCCAGGGGCCATCCTGTCCCCTCTTCCTTTGTGGCCAGCCCTTGGCAGCCCAAAGTGGTGTTCTCTGAGGCTTCCCCTCCATGCAGGCAGCTGGGCTGCACCCTGGCTGGATCCCCAGAAGGAAGGGCCTTGGCAGAAGAGGAGCTATGGCCTGTGGTGGCGGCGGCAGACCAGGCCCAGGAGTTGTCCTGGTGGAGAAAGCTGGACAGATTAAATGCTGGGTGGAGTGGGGTAGCTTTTCTGGCATCTGCACAGCGAACACAGGGAGCCTCTAGCTGGGGTCCTAGAATCCGTGAAGGGGGATGAACCCCAAGGTGTCCCTTTCAGGCCTGGCCAGGAAGGTTAGGTCTGGGGACAGAAAGGAGGGATTGACTCTCAGAGGACAGGAGTGCTGGCAGGGCCTGGGGACCTCTGGGACTGAAGGAGTCTCTGTGGGGCAAACAGTTAACACCCCCCAAGGCCAGCCTGAAGGTCGGAGGTCTGAGTCTACAGAGGTGCCTCAGAAGAAAGAGCTGGCAATCCACTTCACAAAAAGTCTGTGGTGAAAATGAATGGCACCGACTTGTCAAAAACGGCATGGTTGGGTGGGGTGGGGCTGGGTGGGGCTGGGGCGCCTCTGACCTCTAACTTCACTAGAGGGAGGGAGAATCCAGCTCAGCAGGCCGAAGAGCATTCCTCCAAGGTGGAGATAAGATACGGCTCCTCTCCCCTCTCCCCAACCTTTATGCCACTCTGACGCCGGCCATGCCTCCACTCAAGCACTCTGTTCCTCTGATGGGTTTCCTGTTCCTTGTAATGACCACGCCAAACCCACTGGCCATACTCACCGCTCTGTGGGTGATTAGGGAAGTAACAGTATTCAGGATCAGGAACGACTCAGAGCACGGTTCTTGGGTTGTTGTTTTTAAGATGGAACGCTTCACATGTGCATGTCATCCGTGTGCAGGGGCCATGCTGCTAGACTTCTCAGTATCGTTCCGCCTTTAGCACGTGTGCTGCCCACAGGGGTCGCCCAATTCATAGCAGTAGCAAATTTACAGTGATGAAGTAGCAACAAAAATAATTTTATGAAAAAAAAATAATTTTATGGTGGGGGGGGGTCACCACAGCATGAGGAACTATATTAAAGGGTGGAGGCATGAGGAAGGCTGAGAACCACTGGTCCAGAAGGTTCTCAAAACAGGGAACAGGGAACCCGGGTTCAAAGGACCAGCTCCACTCCTGTCTATTCTCCCAGGTGGTGGTGAGATTTCCCCCTTCCCACCGGATGGCTCATTTGATGTCTAGTGCGGTCAACAAAACTATAATAAATAAATAACAGGTAGAAACAAACAAACAAAAGAACTAAAACAAATGAAAGGGACTAAAATAAAGTAATACAGCCTAGTCCAATGTCACAAGGGTGCCCTGCACCTTCCTTGCATTTGTTAGCAAGCTGTCCAATCCCCTTGGTGGGTCACAAGCACTTCATCTGCATAGCTCCACCCAGTGGTTCTGTGAGCCTTACAGACTTGGACATAAAAGGCGCTGCAATAGCAAAGCGGTCTTTCTTTGCACAGCAGTGGGCCACTGGAACCCTGCCTTGGGTCAGGAGCTACTTGCAGGCCACTGTCTTGCTGACTTGACTGTGTCAGCAACCCTTTCTCTCCACTGTCCCCGAGCTGGCTGTCTCAGAAGGGATGCTGAGAGTAAGTCACCGGCTAGGGCAACTGGCAGCCAGTGACCTGGAGGTCAGAGCTCCTGACGCACACACTGCTAATGACCTTCCCTTAGGGGGACAGGGCAGCTCAGGCTTGTCGCAGCAGGATACCACCAGACAGGAAGAGAACAACAGACTGTTTGAAGGGCACGCATGCTTGCTTCCTGCTGCCAATGATAAACCCTGCAAACAACCCCCCACTCCTCCCACTGCCTTCTCCCAGCTCAGCCAGCAGGCAGGGGCTGCCCTCACCAAGGAGCTTGTTTATTGACTCAGACCCAGCTAGGCTCCACAGGAAAACCTGCTCAGGCCAGGAGAGTCCATTTTAGTTACATGACCCGCCGGCAGCCTTCCTTAGCCACGATTCCAGCGGGTGTGAAGTGTCCTCCCATCCCCTGCCCCAGGCCCAGTCCTCTCTCCTCCAAGACCCTGCTAAGAGTGCCCCCTGATGGCGCTAAAGGGTCGTGCAGAGGCAAGGGAGAGAGCATGTTCGAGAACCTGGGTTTGCCCTGTGAATTGAAGAGAACTATTTCTCATTGGCGGGCCCTGAAAAAGAAGGGGACTGGTCCAGATGAGTTAAAGTGTCTTCTATGTGAAACCTCTAATTTTGTGGCAACGGGGGGCGGAGGTACCTAGCCGTGGAGGATTTCTCAGGATGGTAAACAGGAAACCAGGATGTTTCCCAGCCAGCCCACCCATCTGTCCATACACCATGGCGTTCAATTGAGTTTCCAAACGAAGGAATAGGAAGAAAGGCCTGGCGGCCAGGGAAAAAATCAGGCTTTGGATCACAATGGTTTGATCTGTAGCGATCATGGTCCTGCGGGGGGGTGGGGGGGGTGGGTTGCTAGCATTCCCTTCCATTGCACACAAACCAATTTAATGGCAGCTAACACAGGGCACACGGGGCCTGGGTGACAAGCAGCTAAGAGCAACAATAATGCGGCTGTCCTGGCTCCCCGCCCGAGCCCATCCTCCATGCCCTAGTGAGGCATGCCTGGACTCTGCCTCTCCATCTTGAGTAGGAAAGTGGGGGCTGTGGGGAGGTGAGTGCTTTGGGGGCTGGTAGCCACCAGGTTTTGATGTGTTAAAACTAAAAGAAAAACAAACTGAGATCCATATGGGGTTAGCCAGCCCCATTGCCGGTTCAGTAAACGCAATTGTACGGTTGAGATATATAGAGATTATAATAAAGTCCTAGAGAGTAAGAGTGATAGGAGAGAGTAAAATAAAGAAGTCAGACACATTTCATGGTCGCATGCTCACCTCAGCTCCTCTTGGTGGTCCAGGGCAGGAGAGAGCTGGAGAGAGCGATTTATTGCTAACCAAGGCTTATCTATCTTTTGGGGACATGCAAGCCCCGTAAATATAGGCGAAGACATACGTCACAGGAAGGGGTTGTGCTATAGGTACTACGGTAATGAGAGGGGGGTGATCTAGGGGTATCCACGTAATAGGAAGAGGAGGAATTCAGGGTATACATGTGACAAGATGGGCGGACCCTAGATTTATGACGTTGGCCTAGCCTTGATTGCCCTAGAGCTGGAGACTTTATTTAGCCTAAACTTTCGGGGGAAGCAATCCACTGTCCCTAACAGCACCTACTGTGGGAGAAACAATGGTGTCTGGATGGCTGGAGTCTTCAGGGAGATAACTTGAAAATCATTTACCATTAGTTGCAAGCAGTGTCCTAAGTCTAACATATGTATTTGGAGGAGAGGTGCTGGGGAAGTCTTTTTGTATCCCACACATCCAGTGGATTCTCACTCATCCTGGCCCAATAGGGCAGGGTAGAGCTGCCCCTGTGGGTTTCCGAGACTGTTAACGCTTTATGGGATTAGAAAGCCTCATCTTTCTTCTAAAAGGCGACCGGTGGTTTTGAACTGCAGACTTTCTGGTTAGCAGCCCAAGGCATAACCCACTACGCTACATAGCCTCATATGGGCCCCTTTCCTGAAAACATTTCAGAGCGGGCAGGGGAGGAGGTCTGTGAACATTCACCCCAGGGGCAGACAGACAGTGATCTCGGGGCAGAATTCCTTCTGCAACTTCATTGGAGGATCTGCTGACCAGTAGCAACTAGGCTGAGAACCAAAGGTGGGCCCTTGCCTTCAGGTCAGAGTCAGGAGCAGAATCCTTCCCCCACCCCCCTCCCCTGGAGGCCCCAGTGGGGGCTAAGGCCACAAAGAGATGAGGTGACCCATCAGGTTTCAGAATCCCCAAAGAGAGGGCCTGGGGCATGTCCTGACCAGAGCTGTGGGAGCCCAGCTCATTCTGACCCCCCAGGCCTTGGTTGCTGGGCCCAGGCCAAGCAGAGGAAGGCCTGGGAGTCCCTTAGTCCCCCTTCACAGCCAGGCCCTTAGAAGTCCAAGAGTCTTAAGGGGCCTGCTGGCCAGCGCCAAAGGCACAGGATGGTCCCTGCCCTCAGGAAGCTCACAGCTGAAGCCCCCTCCACGTGATTTCCCCCCAGAGCCGATGTCGGTAGTACACCACCGCCCAGAGAAGCACCGAGAAGCTGAGCCAAAAGGACTCCGCAGTCGGGGCTCCACAGCCCAGAAAGCGGCAGAGCAGCGGTGCACTCGGCCGGATGGAGGCACTTGGTCCCTTGGCGCTTCCGGGCGACCCCGCCCGTCTAGCTGACAATCCCCCGTCTCCCACGCCACCCCAGCTTGGGCTGGCGAGGAAAGGTGGTCGGGCGACCCCGGCCAGGCGAGGACATTAGCGGAGAGGCTTCCTGGTCTGGACGGGTCGCAGGCAAGAGCGGTAGCAAGGGAAGCGCACTGCGCACGCGCATCGAGACCCGGGGCGGCCCCGCCCTCGCCACGCCCCTTCCGGCGCCAGGAGGCGGGATCCGCGCGGCTTCCGCTGGGGGCGGGGACCCCGCGCTTAGCTTTGCG